AGAAGCTGGGGAGGAGCAACAAATTTCCAAAATTTACGCAAAAAAACCTCACACACTAAACTTCAAAGATATTACCAGCTATACTGAAGTTGCCAGGCTATATGAAATCAATCAAATGCTGAAAGAAATATCTATGATAGACAAAAACAGCCTAAAATGAATTAGGAATTCAGTTTTGGTCGAAATGAACTACAAGACAAAATTACCACTTCAAGTTTGGACAAAATGAACTGAAAGATGCTGGCATAAAGAGAACAAGTGGAAACAAAATTGTTCTATTGAGAACCATGAACACTCAAAGAACCATACACTCTGGATGTATAAATATTCATCATCGTCCTCTGCCGAATATGGGTCAGTCTGTTGTTTCCAGGGCTGGATTTAGACCGAGGGCTTGCAGCTATGAACATGTCCACTACTGTGTGATCAAGGCAAGTCAACACGAAAGTCAACAGTAAAGGTGTGCAAAAGGTTTTATTTAGAGTGATGCCAGAAAAGAACCACTTTTGGTTCCCTAAAGAATCTTTGAGTAGATGGTTCTGTGCATCCATGTGAAGAACCATTTAGGAACCTGTATTTCTGAGTGTAGCCAATTAAGGTGCACTCTTATTATTGCACCTGTACACTTACATCATTTGTAGAACAAAAATGTACCTGCACTGTACTCTGTTTAAAAAGATGGTTCTTCAAGGGTTCTTTAGTAAAGACAATGGTTTTATATAGGACCATGAACACTCAAAGAACTATTTGGATCTGTGCATGGTAAAATGGATCTTCAGATTGATGGAGAATATGTTGTATACGGTTCTTTATAGAAGTGTTTAAAAAAATGCACTGCCATTGTGACGATATCAAGCTTGTAACAACAAAAGAACCTTTTTGGGTCCTATATAGAATCATTTTCAAAAATGGTTCTTTGAGTGTTCATGATTCCATCTAGAACCATTCTCTTTACTAGAAAACTGATGAAGAACTCTTTTTTTTTAAAGTGAACATTTTTTCTGACAGGTTAAGTGCAGGAAACATTTGGGAACATTGGATATATTAGGGTGTGTTTGAACATTACAGTGCTAAAAGAGTTCTTTGAAGTGATACCATGGAAGAACCACATGTTTTCCTAAAGAACTTTTCAAAGGATTATGCTTTAATGATCCATTTTGGTATATGACACGTGTGAGTTTGAAGAACCTTTTAGAAGAACATTAGTGAGACGTGTGAGTCTGCCTTTCAAAGTATAAAGAACCTTTATATATTGTACTGGTTCTAGGGAGAATGCTTAACTGAATATAGAACCTTTACATTATGCATTGAAAAGTTCTGCACACTCACAAACCAAAAGTGGTTCTTCTATCTCTGAAAAACTCTTTGCGGCACCTTTTAAAAGACTGTATTTGTGTGAGTGTAAAGATGCTTTTTAAGAACCTTCAAATCGTGTAGAGGCTCTAAACCAATTAGTGTTCTTTTCTAGAACCGTACATCCAAGTCAAGAATGATTTATAAGCTTCATTTTGCATGTGAAGGAAATGGAGAGAAGGAAGATGAATAGAGTCAAAGTGATATTTTTTCTGAAACATTTTGCACTGAATGCAACCCTGCAGTTACACACACTCACCTGCTGTTAGACTGTAATACCTGTACAGCTCCTCTTGCAGGGCCCTTTTACGCTCTTAAAGTGTTTTTTCAAGGGTTCTTTAGTAAGGGAATGGTTTTATTTAGAACCATAAGTTCTATATAGAACCATTTCATGCTTAATTTGTTCTTTGCATGGTAAAATGGGTCTTTATATTGATGGAGAATGTGTTGTATATGATTCTTTTCAGAACATTTTTGAAAATGGTTCTATATAGTACCAAACAGGTTTCTTCTATTGTTACAATCTCAAGCTTAGGTAGAACCATATACAACACATTTTCCATCAATCGGAAGAACATTTGTTTGTATATGAAACGTGTCAGTTTGAGGAACCGTTTTACGGTTCTAAGAACCTCCAAGTGCCAGTGGTTCTTGGCACAATGCTGTATAAGAACCATTTTTGTTTTCCTGAAGAGCCCTTCAACGGATGATACCTAGATGAGACGTGTGAGTCTGAAGCTTATTACAGTTTAAAGAACTTCCATATAATGTAGTGGTTCTAGGGAGAATCTCTAAATTGAAATAGAACATTTACATTATGCATTTAAAGGGTTCTTCACACTTACAAATCTGCTTCTTTGTAGGAAACCAAAAGGGTCCTTCTATTGTGATAATATCGAGCTTTCAATAGCAGAAGAACGCTTTTGGTGCTATATAGAACCATTTTCAAAAAGGTTCTACCTACAACTTTATACAACACATTCTCCATCAATCTGAAGAACCAGCTCACCGTGCAAGCATGAAATAGTTCCATACAGAGTTTATGGTTCTAAATAGAACCATTCTCTTTACTAAGAACTATCTTTTTGAAAAGTGCACCTCATCGTCTCCACGCTCGGAAAACCCTTCAACAAAGGCTGTTCGGCGCGCGCAGATGGGCGACCCCACGCTAATCAGCGCTTCAGAGGACAAAGAGGGGCCCCAACCGAACGCCGTTCATGGACGTAAAAAAGTTCTTGATCTCACGGTTCCCGGTCATTAGAGGCCCCGTGGGGAGCTGTGGGGGCGCGTGCAGGGCGGATCGGTTACCAGCTTCTGCCCGCTGCGCTGTGGAGGCCAGTCTGTCGCCCCCACGCGGTGGTACTGCAAACATTTTACACTAGAAAATCTCTACAAATGTTTAAAAGGAGTTCGATTAATAAATAAACAAACAAATAAAATTAAATAAACATATAGCCGTGCACACGCCTCACGTCTTTATTGCGCACGCATGTGCACAGAAGGATGACTGTTTGTAGGACTGATACTCAACCAAAGGAACAAAGAAAAGCATCCCGAACACATAAGATGTATTTCTTTTCCATCACAGTGAATATATTCAAACTTTATAGAATTAAAAATGATCCTTTATTAAAGATATTGAATGATATTTCTTATTAAAGACAGCAATCTTCAAGAATTATGGACTCTTTTATTAATATGGCTTGTATTTTGTATTGTATTGTGTGTGTATATTTTGTATTTACTATAATTACTCTTTTTTTCCGTATTAAAGGTCGGTATTCTTACTTATCATCACATTAACTGCATTTCTGTGTAAACCCTGTAAAGCAGCAAATTTATTCTTCTTTTTCTTTCTTTCTCCAAACAACATCTGTTTTCAGGGCTTGCTAATGACACACACGCGTCGCTTTGTCCCAAACCCATATTCCCCCATTCCTGCCCATAAACATTCCCAGCCAATGACGTTGCGCAAAAATCCCCAAACCCAAACGCAAAGCGCTTCTGCTTTTGTCTCCTCGTCTGTAACCCAATGCCACGGATGGGCCACTGACGCCAAATATTTCTTTGAATAAAACTAAAGAACTATACGTGCACAAAAACTTCGTGAGACGACGGGCACGCGGAGGTGGGAGGGGAGAGCAGAGGGGGGTGTTGGACACGGATGGGGCCATCTGGTGTCCCCATGGCGCGTGCTGGACGCGTGGATCCCACGGGGGACCCAAACTGAAAATATGCGACGGTTTTCCATTTCACCCCCCTGCCACCCACCCCCAAAACGATCTCATGGTTCTAAACAGGACAATTGCCTTTGCTAAAGAAGCCAAAACCATCTTTTTTAAGAGTGCAAGTCGTTTTATTGAAGTCAAAAGCAAGTCTTCACTGAACTGAACCAAAGCAAAGCAAACGACATTCCAGATGAATAAAAGCAGCGTTTTCCATCGACAAACACTTCAAATCGACCTCTTCTCTTTTTCATCTTTCACTCTGAACGACTGGATCACAGACACCACAGTCTGAAGTCGTGCGTAAAAGCCAAAGCAGCCACATTTCATTATTACGCACGATGTATTCTAATACAGCACAGTGCCACTGATGCATGCACGGATACGAGTGCGTCCTGTGCTCAAAGCTTAACCCAAACGTGGACTCGCCCTGCAACTCCAACCCCCACCTCCTGTCCGCACACCCCCCCTCCGCGCGCACCACGGGTGCAGGTGAACCCCGACGTCATCGTAGGCATACGTCAAAGGACTAACTATTGTTTGCAAGCAGATGTTAGTCAAATGTAGCGTGGCTTGGGGATCTGTGCTTTTAATTTAAATTATAGATGCGCGTGCATGCAACCGCCCCCCCCCCGAACCCCACCACCATAAAGTTGGATAACAGCCCCTTGTTGATCTGTTCAGTTGTTTTCCCTCCTTTTTTGCCCCTCCCCCCATATAGGACACATTTAAATCTGGATTTGTATTAACAATGTGTTTTTATGCTACGTAAATATATGAATATTTAACTTAGAATGTCGAATCTTAAAGTGTGGTGAGATGTTGAGGATTGGTAAGGATTTAAAGACCTAAATCATTTGTCATACCATCAAGAGTCTGAAAACAAAGAAAAAGAAACATCTTTGGAGATTCCAAAGCTTTGCGTTAACATTTATTCGAGTTTATAAGTGCACTTAGGTTTGTTAATGCACTGTAAAATGGGAAAGGATGGAGATTTGGACTGGTTAATAAAAAGAAAAAAAGAAAAAACAAAAAACAAACCCCAAAACATTCCTTTTGTTGAAGAGAACTGAAAAGAATACAAAGAAAATATAAGTTTATTGTCTAACCAAAGCGAAAAAAATGATCTGAAAAATATTTTACACTGTTTAAAATCGGGAAAATAGTATGTATGTGTGTTAATATTACTGTGCATTTATCAATATATTTAACAATGAATTGCTAAGAAAATGAAAAGCATTTCAAAAGCGTACAAACACATTTCAAAAAGACGCTTGAAATCAAACGCTCAGTCTATTGTTCTCGAGCCCCCAACTTCAGCTGCCCCGCGCGCTTGGTGGGCGGCGCGAGACGCGCTCCGTGCAGATATAAGGCGCGCGCGGCCACTACACCGCCACAAGCTTCTCCGCCGCGAACTCAACGATGACTCCTCACGCGCCCAGCACTGTAGCCATGAGGAAAGAGGCTCTCGAGCTGAGAAAGACTCTGAAACCGCTGGTAGAGAAGAGAAGGCGCGCGCGCATCAATGACAGCCTGCACCAGCTAAAGACCCTCATCCTCCCTCTGGTGGGAAAAGAAGTGAGTTGAAGTTGAATTTCCCGCACAGTCTATGATTATAGTACATATGGCGGCGTCCACGACCGCGTACTATACTGATAAATAACGTTCTACTAATGCTGGTGATAGTTTGTAGTTTTGGATGCCTTTCTAAACGACATTCGCAGCTGCTGCGAATTATGGGTAACGTAGTTCCCAGCTGAGCTAACCGTCGCTTGTTTTTTTCGTTTCAGAAATGCCGCTACTCGAAACTGGAGAAAGCTGATATTCTGGAAATGACCGTCAGGTTCCTGACTGATATCCCAGCGACTCCGACAAAAGGTGCTTATGTTCTTCTCTTTATTCCATTAGCAAGAACCGGTGTGACGGTTCACATTCAGTTTACTCACTTTCGTATTTAGCTTCGGGCTATCAGCTGTAGCGTGTAGATACAACTTACACAGCGTTTAGTAGTACATTCTTTAAAAGGATGGTTCTTCAAAGGTTCTTTAGTAAAGAGAATGGTCCTATTCTGAACCATGAAATAATGGTTCTTTGCGTGGTTAAAAGGTTCTTGAGATTCAAGGAGACTGTGTTGTAGCTATATGGTACTATATAGAACCTTTTTGAGCACCAACAATGGTTCTTCTATTGTTACAAGCTTGTCATTGTAACAATAGCAGTACCCTTTTTGGTTCTATATGGAACTCTTTTCAAAAAGGTTCAGTATAGGACCCCATACAACACATTCTCCATCAATCTGAAGTACCAATTCAATCATTTCAATGCTTCTGTATAGAATTCATGGTTCTAAATAGAACCATTCACTTTACTAAAGAACCCTTGAATCTTTTTAAGAGTGTAGCTACTGAATAACGTATAATATCCTGATTACTGAATAAGTATTAAGACTAATAACTGAATAAAAAGCCTTAGCTTTAGCATTAGCTCCCTCAGTAGCCTAATACTTTGTTAGTAAACATCTTTTAACCGCGCTAAAAACTAAACCGAGTTCTTTCTTTCTTTCTCTTCTCAGAGTCTACAGACAGCTACAGAGAAGGTTATAAAGCGTGTCTGCAGCGAGTCTCGGCGCTGCTCCCTCACACCGGCCTGGACCGAGAAGCAGGTCTCCGGGTGAATGAGTTCATGCAGCGGACGATGCTCTCCGCCAGCCCGGAGTGCCAGCACTGCTGCGGCCACAGCGCCTCGGCAACCCCGCAGCCCCAGCAGCGCCTCCGCAACCTCCAAGCTGCTCACGCCCCCAGGAGCGAAATCCGGGCGAGCGTCAGTGCGCCGGTCTCTGGCGCCCCCGTGTGGAGACCCTGGTAGTTGCATCAAAACTCGGACTCTTTCCTTTCTGAAACAACAAAAAATGTACATAATCGCTTGTAAATAAGTCGTAAATAAGCAGCTGGTGTGTGCTGGCGTGCTCTTAATTTGACTTGGGATCAACCGAGTCAAATTTCCCTGAGTATTGTATACTTGTGCTACTTCGCTTAACCGGTCTCAACGGGGCTCGAAACGGTTGTTTTTCTTCTAGATCCTGCGCGTAACCTGTAAATAACGTGGTTCTGTTTAGTCCTCTTCGACGGGGGGGGGTTAAATGGGTGGGGGCTGTGGAAAACGCCTATGTAAAACCCCACGGGTTGTTCAATGTAAGACATTTGCACGTTTGGCTTCAGTATTCTGGGTTTGTGCAGATTGTTCGCATGTAAGCACGATGTGTTTCATTTTAAAGTCTCTTTTTGGGGATGTGCTGGTTATATCTTTGTATATGTATGTTATTCAGTACTTTTGAATAAAAGCAATGGGCTACCCAAATACTGTGTCCTGCTTTATTAAAATATATAAGCAATGAAGGTTTCATCAAAAGACTCTTTCAGAGGGAATGATTCAGAGAGAAAGGAAAACAAAAATACAACCTGGGACAGCTGCTCGGGTAAAACAGCCTATGAAATGAAGGCTCAACCAAGGGTGCCATTAAAGGGGATTCCACCGATTTTTCAAAATTTATCCAAAATTCAGTCGCTGAAATGTAAACACAAAAGCCAGTCAGAATGTGTTGATGTCTAATGGTGCATTGCAGAAAAACGTATCAACTAAGATTTCTTTACACATGTGGTGATACGAACCAAAGGTCGTGATGAGTTTTTAAATACTGATAATAGTAAAATGGTAATAAATCTGATACACTCCCTTAATGTATCTCTCTGCCATGTACATTTTAGGCCAAATTTGTATCCTAAAGGTATTGCAAAAATGTGTACACAGGCAACAGGCAACGTATTCATAAGCATTTCATGTAACGACGTTCTGTGAGGGAGCTTAGGAGGCATCAAACGCTTCAGACGTCTGGTTCCCATCACCACCACTGTGAACAATTCTGACTTGGTTACGTTTCTCCAGAACGGAGTGTACTCTGAATGACTTGCTTATATGTTTATGACTTATTTAATGCTTATACATTAACCATATTATTATGCACAAATTTTATAAACTCACTGGAACCGTCCTTTAATTTTAATGGGCACTGTATCATTGGTGTGCACGGAAAGCTCAGAATTAGTGTGGGAAAAACGCGGTCTCTGCTGCCACCGTGTGGTTACATTGGGTTATGCACGCTTGAACGGCGGGAGAGTTTCATCACATGTGAAACATGAAGGACCCATTAAAAAGCAACATCCTCCACAATATACCGGTTAAAAAGTACTAAAAAAGGTCAGGAAGGAGATTCTTCTCGCTCAAAATTGGCCAAAACCATTTAATAAAATACCCTAACCTTATTTTATAAACCCAGCTTACGCGTTTATGACAGAAAGGACGAAAACGCCACAGTGACGACAGCAAAGACTTTCTAGAATCGCGTCAGTTTCGAATTTTAAACCGTTTTGACCGTCGAGCGTTTCCTAAATAATTCACATCAGCGCTCGAGTGTCCGGTTTTCGTGACGCCTCTCTCTGTGATAGCAGCCCCGGCGAGCAGGAAATCGATTCACCCTTAAAACCCCATTTGGCTTCAGCCAAGCCAGCCGGGCAGCAGCTCTTTCCAGTTTGTCTCTTTCCTGCTCCGGCACTGGGGGTCGACGCGAGCTGTCCATGATGTCTGCCGCCAATTCTTCGCCAACCTCCCCGTCCATTCAGATCTGCAGGTGAGAACCCAGCTCTCGCCTGACATTGTACTTCCTTTCAGTGTCGATCACAAGATCTGCATCAGCGAGAGCTGTGAGAGGTGTGAGAGGCTCTTTCTCAAGTAGCTTAGCCTGCATCTCAAACGTGCAGCGCAGCTAGATAATCTCCAGCTTTTAGCACAGATAGCTAAGATGTGTATTCAGTATACAGCCGTGTTGGATCTCCATGTCTAAACGGTGTATAACCACTGAGAGGGGAAAACTGCGTTTAAGCCGGTTTGCCGATGCAATTCGACACCATGTAGCTCTTACCGAGCATGTCGCATGTCGTCTGTGATGACCTCAACAAATGATGCTGGGGCTGAGGCATGATGCCGGGACAGAGAGGCAGTCATACAGAGGACGATTCAGCTGCTGCAAGACATTTCATATGTTCAGAGAGGTTTATGTGGCTTAGATGGGGAGAAGATATGGAAAAGACATCATTTGACATTGAGATATTGAGCATGTATGTTAGTTTGATTCCAAACTAGACGAGCACGAAAAAAGGTGGACGTCACCTGAATCAGTCTCATCATTAATCCCTGTACAAACGGCATTAGAAACAGCGGGCGCGTTAATACCGGCTATTCTCTGATGCGTTATTTTTTGTAGGCCACCACTGTTCCGACAAACCCCGCCTCCTGCTCCGGGATTGGCTAGAAGTGTCTTGGCTCCAGCTCTCCGATTGGCTGGTTAGCTTCGACGTAAGCGGACTGCGCGTGATTATGGGCTACCAGCCAATCCTGGCGCAGGAGGTTGGATGTGCTATCCAATCGTAGCGAGGTCTGAGTTTGCCGGAAAACGAGTGGAGAAAGAACAACCGCTGGCTAAAGCTGCGTCCGAAACCCACACACAGTTATGCTGCACTTACTACACCAGTGAACGGACTTCTTTTGGCAGTGTACTATTTTTTACACCCTAGTTAGTGTGGTAGTTTGCGGTTTTGGACGCAGCCTACGGGTCTGAGGTGTTCGCCCTCTAGTGGAGGACAGTTTACATTCCTCAGCGTTCTGCGTAAGCAGAACGTCATCAAGCAGAGCACATGGGGGCTTGTTTCTTGGAAATGTTACGTGTTCCTGTAGGGAAAGTGATGGCTCGTCTGCTGATAGCCACCTCTAGGTACGTAGAAACTCGCGTTGGCAGCGATAAATCACGACGTCTGACTGGTTTCTGCGAGCACTGTTGAAACTAACTCGCACTGAACTCGCCTTGAAGTTAGTTTGTGCTAATCACTAACTCCTTTGAAGCTGGACAAACTAATAAAACTAAGCCCTTTCACCTAATTGTTCTGCTTTTTCCTGATCCCCTGTAGGCTGATTTAGCAGCTGCCGTCAGTGAAAGTCTATTGGAATGTTTTTTCTTCTTATATGCTGGAGGATTATGGATCCTGGTGTGCGGGCTTCTCATTCCGAATTTTTAGTGTGCTGCACATTTTTTCCCAGCTATTCTAGCTCTACAGAAGCAGGCATGTCACTACTCTCACTTTAGTGTTTCAGCAGAGCTCAGTATTTGCATTGATTAATCATTAAATAGAGTGTTTTATTTTTTTTATGTCGTCATAAACAAAAACAAACTTGGTACCTGGTAAGATAGACGCTCACCACCTCACTGACCGAATGAAACACTGTGTCTGAATGATCCTGTATTTATTACAGAGATACTTTGTATATATGTCCTTCTAGAAGGACCCTCTTGTGAAAAATAAAAGATGAATTTTATATTTATTGTATATTTATCTATGCAGACACAATTTTTAGAGAAAGTTTAATGTCCAGTAATCATTTGATTAGTATAATAGACTCAATGTCTATTATTGTTACAAATGCAGTCATTTTGAAAAAACATTTTGTTAAATATTTATTATCTATAAACTAAACATTTCCTGAATTTATTTCTGAATTATTATATATACATATATAATATGTGTAATAATACATACAAGTCTATGTACTTTACTTTGCCTTTTTTACACTAGATTGATTACACCATTTGTAAGTTCTAGATATAGTAATGTAAACCAAATAGTAATGTAAATACTTTGTTAAAAAGCTCTTTGTTTATTATTACAATATGAAAATGATTTAATATTTTAGCAGCCATTCACGCAGAAGTTCAGGCAGTTCCAAGAGTTCAGAAACTTTTTCATGCAACTGTACAGCAAGCACAGGAAACACTGAGTGTTTGCTTTGTGTCTTGCTAAATTAGGGATAATAAATATGATCGTATTTCAAAACGATATTTAGTATGCAGCAAAGAACATGTTTCATAACAAAACATTATTTGTTTTTAAAGTGTCCAGTCTTGGGGTTGAAGAGGTTACATCTACATTGTCATAGGATTACCAAGACCAGTGCAGTTCTTGCATCATATGAGGCAGCATGCTCTTACGACACTCCTCAGGTTACGCTGTAAGCACTAAAGGTACAAGAGTTTAGAACAGCAAAGTAGAGACCCTACCACTTTGTGTTATTTCATCAGTTTCTGCATAACTTACTCATCAAGATGTAAACAAGGCCATAGAGAGTGGTTTAATGTGAAATGGTACATTGTGGAGAAATGTACCGACTCTGATTTCTTTACAGTGTTGGTAACAGGAACCAGGAGCCGCAGTCTTTACAGTGCAGTTATAGCCCAAAATCAGAGTTGATTTCACATCAAGGCACTCTTACATGTTATAATTAAAGATTAGCATTGCCTTGATTTCCAATCATGTAACAAATTCATGTAAAAAGTTAAAAAGGCTAGGGCAGAAGAGAGGAAGCTACCCATTGCCTTTATCAGGATGTGCTGTGTGAGTTGAGCATGCAAAAAAGCTTCCATTTTGCAGTTCAGAATCGACCAGTATGCCTACACAAGTTATTATATGTCATGTTGAATATGGTAAAATAGTGTTTTTTTAATGTTTTAACCAAAAAGCTTTATCTCAAAACTATCATAAAACAATGCCTCAAACATTAAGCAGCGTATTTATACCAAACTCTTGTAATAACTTTCTGTGAGGGAACTTTTAGAGGCATTAAACACTTTTTGAAAATCTGGTTCCACCACTCAGCAAGTTTCTCTAGAGTGACGCATTTTGCGTCAAACCACTCATTCATTTGTTTGTATCTTAGTCATTTAATTATGAGGAAAATACTGGTACAGGTATACTGTAAGGGCT